AGCGTTGAGGTGTTACGAAATAATGGAGGAAGATGTTTGAATTCGTAACACGATGCTATTTTGCTGTATGTTTGCGTTTAGCAGGTAAAATGCAGAAGTAGTAAAGTAACGCAGCGGAAGCCATTTTGACATTTTTTTTGTGGTGCGGCCACTGGTTAACGTTATGTCAGACAAATGTCACATGCAGCGGCAAAATAATCAGCAAATGCATCCTAAACATGTTAAAATGTTACCAAAAGTATAGTTGTTATCATTGAAAAGAGACAAGTCTAGCGAGCATGATCCCATACAATGTCACTGTTTTGTGGACTTGAATATAAACCCTCTCCGTTACAGAGACAACTTTAATACGGCATCTGGACGCAGACAGCATTGCATACCTTCCAGCATGCTATTGTTTTTCGTATTCCCCATTGCGCGCAAACTGTGTTTGGAATTACACGTAGCAGAAGACAATGGCGAAGCTGGGAGAGATGCGCCCACACGCCATCGTTTTAAATGCACTGGCCACATTAGAGCAACTGTGTGATGTATCTGAGACTGAGATAGCTGCAAAAAAAAAAGCGCGAGAAATCATCATTGCTGGAGGGTAGAAATTTTCATCTCCCTGACTGCGGCTGCGGATCTTTCTTTATCATTTGGTAGCTGATGCAATTTGAACACAAGATACAGAGAGGTTGTGAGAATGTGCAGGCATCTCGCTTCCAGAAGGGCTTGAAGCAATATCTTTCTATAGTAAAATACGGAGGTTTAATATGCAAACAATGAACGAGCGATCTGTACATTAAAACAAAACGGCAGAAAATATCTTCTCGTTAGTTATCTGTGCATTGAAACATCAGGCAGAGGTTAGGTTACTGATCCGATTGCGTGTGGGGGTTTACTCACTAAACAGTGAGTTAGAGCACATTGGTATTAATTAACTGACAAACCAGAATATTTCCGCTAGACTAGCTTAACTGTTAATATTCTCCAACTCCGCGGATTTTACCAACACAGCTGTTACCGCATTTATTTTGTTTTTTGTAACTGGATTGTCATATCAACTCATAGGGGTATATTCCATATACAGGAAATTGTAGTAAATTGAAACATTAACCAGAAAAAGTCAGGCTAAAACAGACAAACTGTGGCTAAAGTTGATTCGGGGCATTTTTCCAAAATCAGCTACTTTGGTCTAAATTGTGCAATTTACTGCAATTTGAAGGTTCTTAAAAAATATATTTTTTTTAAATTGAATTGTTTAGTAAAGAAAATGCTTGGTGTCGGTATCACGAGACATCACGCATGATTCCTACTTTTGTGACATATCATATGATGCCGGTATATTTGGGTGCCGGGCGCCCTTGTGTTTTTTCTCCTCTGATGTAAGATTATTTTCAGTGCCAACGGGGTAAACACAAGTTCATTCCTGAATTTGTTGGCCTCCCATTCAGAAGGGAGAGGAGCCATAACAAATAAATGAGAAAAACAACACAAGCTAAGTGCGTTTTACTGTACAGATAAGCGAGGATTGCAAGTTGTTGCATCCAATGGTTCAAAACATCTCGCTTTCTTACCATGGATGCTTTCTAAACAAGAAAGACATTTTAAGTACATTTCTCCTTACCTCAATTGGTTTTACTTTAATATTCAAAGGTTCTGAATAATGCAGAATATCACTTGGAGGTCGCGATGCCTTTCTCTTTGGATTTCGAACACGCGCAGCTAACAAATTAACTTTTTTTTCTTTCGTTTCTTTGAGTTAAAACTAAACGTTGCGGCCCGTTACCAGGCGTTATGTCCTGCGTGGATATACATTCAGACAGAAGGCTGAAGGCTTGTGTCACAGGGTGTAAAGCCTTGCGCCGGCACTGGAACATCTCATTCAGTCTTGTTTTCATTCTGGGTTTTGTAGTGCTCTGCGTGCAATCTTGTATATAAAACGAGCATGTCAGCAGACAGACATCTCTGCACCTTTTTTACACAATCTTACATTTTCTCCAGATCTCCGTAATGTGAGAAGTGACTGAAAGGCGCTTTCAATTTGACTTAATTTATAAAGCTGCCAACAGCCAGGTACCATTAACACTAATGGAAATAGTAAAATGAAGAGGATAAAGAATAGATAATGGTGGCAGCGGAAGGATAATTGAAAGAAGAGGATTGAAAACAGGTGGGCAGGGGGCTTGTTTGTGTGCCACGTTTGCTTTTACTAAATTGCAGCCCACCCTGTGTAGGCATCTGCTCCAGGCAATGTAATAACTTGTAACAAATCATTCAAATGATTTCAAAGGCATGCAATAAAACTACCCTAATATATCATTAATTGATATTATGCTTCTGCCATTGTAGATCTTATTGATATTCAATCTATTTCTCTTTGTCAGAGTGAATATGATTGTGTTTTATAGACAGTAACCATTAATGCCTGGAGTAAAATGGTAGGTAGTGAGATACTGTCAGGATACACTGCAGTTAACTTGCCCCTAAAGCAATGCAATAACTGTTGGGTGTTAAAAAGCAGTAACAGACGTAGGTACAGTAACATACACATCATGCACTGCTGCCAGGGGGCAGCTGTCTGCTGGGCACTTCAAAGTGTGTGAGAAACCAGACTTTTGTACATGCAATTACACGTGTGAGCCATAGGGGTCTAAAATATATTGTGCCGCTGTGTGTACATGTCTGTGGCTTCCCTGCGAGTCTGTGCGTGCATGTCGGAGCGGTGTAGCCCATGGGACTGATACTTCCACTCTCTCCGTGTGTCTGAAACATTCAAGTTAAAAAATATTAATGCACAGGAAAAAAAAAAGTAATTGTAATTTCATTATTTAAAACATTAAGTAAAATTTCCATAAATCTTTCTCTTGTTAAATTAAAACCAATTTTCTTAGAGCCTCCTTTGTTAATAGATTTGTGATGTATGTCTATATATGTACATAAGGATAGTGGAAATGATGTAATTAGATGCAATTCATATTAAATGGTAATTATTGCCATTGATTTAAAGGGACACTGTAGACACTATTTATATTTCATCTCGTTGACGTGGTTATAGTGCCTGGAGTTCCCTGGTGCTGTGCCTCTATTCAGTTTTTAATCATTCCATCTATTTGAAGTGGTTATAGTGCCGAGAGTCCCCTGGTACTGTCCCTTCATTCAATGTTAAATAGACACTATAGTCCAGCCCACTAAATCTCATTGAAGTGGTGTGGGTGCAGTCTCCCTGTCCCACTTAGTCCTGCAATGTAAAACATAGCCCTTTTAGAGAAACTACAATAATTACCTTGTAGGATAAAGACAACCTCTAGCGACTGTCTACCAGACTGCCACTAGAGGCACTCCCTGGGTGCTAACAGACTTTTGGTCCCCTTACTAATGCTGGATGTCCTCACGCTCTGCGTCAGTGTAGTCTTCTTAGTAAAGCATCAAAGCAATCCGCATTAGCCCCCTGTCCACATCGAATGACATCAGGGAAATCAGCGCTGGTATGGGCTAAGTGACTTAAGGTTTTTTTAACCCTTTAGCTGCTGGCGGTGGGGGGGGGAGTGATGATGGAGGGGTGGACCAGAGGGCACTATAGTGTTAGGAATACAGATCTTTAAATCATTTCATCTGATTGAAGTGGTTATTGTGCCTGTAGTCCCCTGGCGCTGTCCCACCATAAAGTGTTGAATCACTTCATTTCATTTAAATGGTTATAGTGTCTGGAGTCTCCACTGGCTCTGTACATCCATTCAGTGTAAAACCATTTTCGAGCATAGCTCCACTCCCACTGGAGGTGTGGCTAAGGCAGATGTGACGAGAGCAACTTCGCCACTGGTTTTTGGAGGGGCCTGTTTGCCAGCCTCCTACCCTGGGACTATGGGCCCTGTGATAACCCATGTTCAAAAGTACTGTTTCTGCCCCTTGGACTTTTAACTGGAACAGATTCAAACATGTGGCGGCTGCCATCTTAAATTGTCCAGCGGTGTTTTTTATTGTCGAGTGTATGGAACTGTTTTGCGCATGAGACCATGTGCACGGTGGGGCAAAAATAAGACTTCCAGGAAATTCCTCAACCCCTGAACCGATGATTTTTGGATATGTTGTTCACCCAGATCGGGGCTATGATGTGACTTTTGTGGGGATATGTTGTATTTTGGGGTACTTTTTGGGGTTTGTAAAAATGAATGTTTTTTTCTGCTTAGAGTTAATTGAGTTAGTCCATTGTCTTAGTTAATTAACTCAATTATCTCCCAAGCAGAGGGGAGGAATTTACTGTAAAGGGAGTGTTTAACTTTGTGACTGTACACTATGGGCTGTGGAATGTATTTTGCGGTGCCCCACAAGGTCCACATGGGTGGTAAACTTGTGGGAAAACTTGTATAAAAGACCAAGCTGATCATTAAACCCTCAGATCTGCTTAACACTTAATACGTAGCCTCGTCTAGTGTTTGTAGGGAACTGCTAATTCACACTGGGGATTGCTATACTTTGCATATTCCCCTGGGCTCTAATCACTGTTACGCTCTCCTGGAGGAGAGGTCTCCCCCACACGGTCCTGGATGTCAGAGGTTGATCATGGGTGGAAGGAAGATGGCGAGACTCCATTTAGGCTGCGGCGGTTGTGGAGTCTGCGGTGGTTGTGGTGTCTGGTCCAGTGCTTATGATCCTCGGCGTCAGCTAGGAAGCGTCCGTCAACGGAGGTGCCCAGCCGGGGTGCCAGGTGATCCGTTACAGCAGAGATTACACACGCCCTTCTAGCCTTACAAATTCATACCACCAACAGGCGCTGTGATACGTTAAATGCGGTCAGCTGACACTCTCAGCCAATCACAGCTACCCATTACTGCTCAGGATAATACTTCCTAATTATCCACAGCACAAAGGGGATGGGCTGCTCGGAACTCTCGTTTAGCATTACTATATTAAAAACAATTATACACTCAATGAGAAGATGGCACCAGGTGACTCCAGACACTATAACTAAAGATGTCGCGAACCGTCCGCGAACGGTTCGCCGCGGACTCCGGTCAGCTGACACATCCCTGCCAATCTCCGGCAGACCCTCCCTCCCAGACCCTCCCACCTCCTGGACAGCATCCATGTTGAAGCTGCCTTCAACATGGATGCTGTCCAGGAAGTAGGAGGGTCTGGGAGGGAGGGTCTGCTGGAGATTGGCCGGGATGTGTCAGCTGACCGGAGTTCGCCGCGAACCGCGGTGAACCGTTCGCAGGAAGTTCGCGGACGGTTCGCGACATCTCTAACTATAACCACTTCAATGAGATGAAACAGTTAAATAGCCTACTGTGTCCCTTTAAGAGATCAGACAATAATTGCTATTGCTGTTTGTTGTCTCTATAGATGGGAAGGATTAATGATGATTTTATAGAGCTCCAACAGATTCTGTGGCGCTGTACAATACATTTCATGTTTTTGGCAATGAGTGACTGGGAACGTTATATACAGGGGATAAATTGTATATAATTATGTATATGTAGAGCCCAAATTGACTGACATGCCCAAAACTATTTTTTGGATCATAATATTCTGGTGAATAAACAGTGAATAAACGGTGAATAAACTGAGCAAATGGTAATATTTAGGAAAGAGAGACTTCTCTAGTCTATTTTATCTAATATCTGTCAGTTTGATGCTGATTTTATTTGACTTTATCGAATCAATAGTTCTACAGCATCATTGTTTTTATAAGGAAATTTCCCCCCAAAAGATATTTATTGTATTTCTAAGATTTCTGGAGTTAGATAAATAATATGTAAACAGATAATACCTCTAGTGTACAGAGTAAGTCTGATGCACCATCTGTACTCCCAGATCCTTGTGTACAGGACCTACCGTATGTACTCCCGGCTCCCTGTGTACAGACAGAGCCTGACCCACTATGGATACTCCCAACTCCCTATGTACAGACAGAGCCTGACCCACTATGGATACTCCCAACTCCCTATGTACAGACAGAGCCTGACCCACTATGGATTCTCCCAGCTCCCTGTGTACAGACAGAGTTTGACCCACCGTGGGTACTCCCAGCATCCTGTGTACAGACAGAGTCTGACCCACCATGGGTACTCCCGGCTCCCTGTGTAAAGACAGAGCCTGACCCACCATGGGTCCTCCCAGCTCCCTGTGTACAGACAGAGCCTTACCCACCATGGGTACTCCCAACTCCCTGTGTACAGACAGATCCTGCAAATGCCTCTAGTGGCTGTCACTCAGAAAGACACCCGAGACTTTTCCTTGAAATTAGCCGAGTGAAACTCTGCTATTTCAATCAGACAAACTCACAGAGATCACCTGATTGGTGCGGCACAGCGTTTTTGCCTCGCATGTGCACTAGCCTCCTAATGCTTTTCTAAAGGGAAGCATTTAATTAGCTCGATGTTCTCAGCCAAGGAGGCGGTACGGTAGGGTGGAGACTGCGGCACTGTGAGGGAGAAATATTTTACACCCTACATGTGGGTGACCTAAACGGCCAACACGGTATTACACATACTTGTATTCCAAACGTTATAGTGTTCCTTCAATAAAGAGGCTTACGCAACAAGTGGAATTTAAAGAACAAAAATCCAGAATACGTTGTCGAATCAGATTGCGTACAATATACTATCGGAGATAAAACACCTCCATGATAAAGTACAGAATGAGTGAATGAAGGCAGAATGGCGGATATCAAACCGCAATTCCTTATTAAGGGTTGCATTCGGACAGATGGTCGGATAACCAGAGTGAACATTCAGCGCTTTCCTCAAGCGTGCGTTTGGCGTGCTGGTTTCCCCAGCAGAGGAGATGTTTTTACAGCATAATCAGTTTCAGGCCGGCTCCTCGTACTCCCAGCCCTGCCTGCTCAGCAGAGGATTCGTTCACCATAACTCACTGCAAACTTGCTGATCTCTGAACGCCACTTAACAGGCTGCCTCCCCAACCTTTCCTTTACATAAGCTGAAGATTGTCACTTGTGAATTATAGCAGTGATGGCTTGCTTTAAGTACTGCCAGTGGGGACAACGTATGATCCTGCGGGGACGCTTTGCTACCCAGGAAAGGAGGGGCACAGGGAAGGCTGGCTCCCCCCGAGCCCCGATCCTGTCACAGACTCAATGTGGAAATATGCATGAAAAGCATTGTGATCAGCGTCCTCGCAGGTCTCTGCCTTTCATACACTGGTGACAAAATCCTGCCTGACACCCCACTGACAGCCCCCGGTGTACTGCGGCCTGATGGTGCAGCCGGAGCTGACAGCACAAAGAAAAAAAACATCAAGGAAGAGAGGAGGCTGCGCTCCCATCTGACCATGTCTTAATGTTCCATCTTCTCCTGGAAATGCACAATCTGACAAGGGGGAACAAACAAATTCCAAAGTCAATTCACATCCTACATACGCATCTTCCTTCTCTTATTCCTCTAAGGCAGGGAAGTATCCACTAAACAGCGATTTGTGGCATTTTAACCGACTTTCGAAATTCAGGCCAAAATTCGCAGAGGGAAAGGGGAAATCTTGACATGAAATGGTAATTTTATTTCACAAATTTTCGGCGTGGTTATTTTAACAGTTGTCATCACCAACACCGCTAACTGTTCAATGTACAAATGCCTTAGTTTTGACTATGTTTGTATCACCTCTGCCAGGAATCCATGCCAGGGATCCACTACTTTTAGGTTTTGGTCTTTTTTCATTACTTACCCCGCTTTATTATTGTAAAACCTTTTATCCCCACCAGTGGATATATTACAGCATATTCTGCCTGGCAGTAATGGTGTTAATTCTATTTCACGTTAAATAATGGGATTTACTAATGTGATACTCAGCAGTCATTAAATACTCTGCTTTAGGGCTTGTGCGACAGTATGAATTACAGAATCATTTTTGACTCCCTGGCAGAAATAAGAAAGGACATTGAGGAGAAATGGAAAAGTCTTCCCGATTAAATAAATTCTCAAGGGTAGTTGCAGTGAGAGAGCTGTGATTGAACCTCGAGAGAAAATAAACATGGGAGCTAAGTGTATAAAATCATATGACAGAGGACAATGCGGTGCGGGGAGGCGAGAAAAGTGACGGCCAGGATTTTCGATGGATGGTAGATTTGAGATTTGGAGAAAAGAAAAATATGAGAAGTAAGAGAAATAAAAATTTTTTAATAAAAATGCAAGCATTATTTTTCAGCAATTTTTTTTTTTAATCGCTAAATGCAACATACTGATACTGATAGCACAATTAATCTTGCAATCCCTGGAGCCAACAAGACACAGATTTCGGCTTTTTGAATCTTTTGTTTGGATAATTAATTTGGTGCAATGTTAGCTGAATCATAAATAAGAAATGAAAAGTAGAAAAATGTACGGTGAGTTTCTGTAGAAATGGGCAGGATGCAAACGACGTTAGCGCAGCACGTGTTTAGAGCCATTTAATTGCGCAATAATGCGTCACGGCCCTGGGGAAAGTTACTCATCTCGTGCCTGTCTCTGGCAATGAAGGGGTTATTATGAGCCGTAACCTCACGCTACAAAGCAGCTTTTTTTAAAATGACCCGGTCTCTTGCTTCAAGTCATTAGCTTCCAATCCCATTACGCTGTTTTGTTTTCGCGAAAAAAGCCAATTAGATGCCGATTCATCTCGCGCAAGCAGCGGGAGAGTTTTTGCTTTTAACTTTTAACAAATCTCAGCATGGTCTTTGTGGAAGCGAGAGGGGCCCCCCTTTGTAACCAGTTTTAGAAATGAATTATTTCGCGTGACAGTTTAATTAGGTAGGTTCTCTGCACGTAAGAAATACTACTGGCGGCTGTCGCAATCCGTGCAAGCATTCACACTTTCCCGCAGGATCCCATCCCAGGCTGCGAGCATAGCACATCCACTGAGTTCTTCAAGACAGCAACAAGGTTTCCCAAAATCCCTCCGTTTATCATTCTCTGTGCATTATTATGGCATATCCCGTGGCATAGGCTGGCTTCTGTGCAGGATTCTGACCTGTTTCACTAGAGGGCATCAGACCCCCGCACCTTGAGATCTCATCTTACAGGAGGGCCGGGAGCCTGGCTACTGGGTGCCAGCTGATCAGTGCTGGTGTCAGTACATCTTGTTTTATGGTCGCACACTATAGCGGTGCAGTGTATCTCAAAACATATCCTTGACTGATTAAGCTTGCCTAGCTATGCCTGATTAATATTCAGAAACAGACAGGCAGAACCTTGGAAGGATCCACATTATACAAAGAATGTTTAGTAGTTACATTGCTGTTAAACCTGCTGAATTCTCTTTTTACTAGATTACTTGTGGCTGATTTACAGGATGGTTCAATGATTGTTTCAGTTACTTGAAGGCAGAATTATTAGTACATGATCCTGGGATGAAATTTCCTAAGCACTACATTTAGATAGCAAGCTCTGTGGGTCAGCTCTGAGCACACCATCAGCATGGCATTAATATTATGACATTATTAAACATGACTCCACTTCTCAAGGAACTGTAGCGTAAGCTGATTTCTCACGCTCAGGCACATCTCCCCAGGGCCACGTACATGTTTCTAACCCTAATTAACCAGGTTTGTGATAAGGGTAGAAATCTGTGTGCAATAAGCTTCGACCAACACCTGCCCATGTGCTGTCAGCAAAATATTAAGAGCTATTTATCAAACCCTAGCTCCAGAGCATGAAATGAATCCAGTTTTCCCAGCAGAAGGTCGGAGATTCTCATTTGGTATATTTCTCAGTCTTTTTGTTGCCCCAAGTAAAACTTTTGATAAATCTCTCAAGTGTTTCCAAAAACCGCCTGGAGACGAAACGAAATAAAAAGTGTAAACGTGCTGTAAGTCTGGCTAATGCTACCCCGAGGAGATCTGTAACAAGCTATGCCCTTGGACTGCAGAATCGTTCTGATTTCTGGGCAGTTCTGATAAAATATTGCACTCGGACGGAGGGCCGTTCACTCCTGCAGAATTAACGCTTTAGTTACCGGTGCGGGATGGCGAGACAGATATCTGAGCTGTCGGAAAAATAAAGGAGACTGATATTTTCCAAGGCACCTCTTATGACCTGAATTTTTGCAAACTAGTTTTCAATGTTTGGTGAATAAACATCCAGGAGTCAGTGCCTTTTCCTACAAAAATTACATTACTGGGGCATTTTAGAAGTTTCCACTATTAAAGAATCAGATGCGACTGTTGGGCCAGAAGATATGATCCA